CCCCCTCATTGTCCCCCAATGTCCCCCCAGTGTCCCCTCTCTGTCCCCACAGATCCCCGATGAGTTTGACAATGGTGAGTGACCCTGGCAGGGGACAGGGAGGTGACGGTGCCACCCCCCCGGTGTCCCCTCAATGTCCCCCCAATGTCCCCCCAGTGCCACCCCCCCGGTGTCCCCTCAGTGTCCCCCCAATGTCCCCCCAGTGCCACCCCCGGTCCCTTTCAGGAGTGACCCAAAAGGGAAGGGGGACACTGCCACCTTTGGGGGGGGGGTCTTTGTCCCTTTTGTCCCCTCTGGGTCTCCCTGTCCCCTCTGTCCCTTTTTGTGGGGGGGTCCCTGGGGGTCCCTGTCCCTTTGGGGAGGGGTTGGGGGGGGTCCCTGTCCCCCCTTGTCCCTATTTGGGGGGTCCCTGTCCCCTCTGTCCCTTCTTGGGGGCGTCCCTGTCCCTTTTGGGTGTCCCTGTCCCTTTGGGGGTGTCCCTGTCCCCTCTGTCCCTTTTTGGGGGTCCCTGTCCCCTCTGTCCCTTCTTGGGGGCGTCCCTGTCCCTTTTGGGTGTCCCTGTCCCTTTTTGGGGTGTCCCTGTCCCTTTCTGGGGGGGTCTCTGTCCCCTCTGTCCCTTTTTTGGGTGTCCCTGTCCCCTCTGTCCCTTTTTGGGGGGGGTCCTTGGGGGTCCCTGTCCCTTTTGGGGGTCCCTGTCCCCTCTGTCCCTTTTGGGGTGTCCCTGTCCCCTCTGTCCCTTTTTGGCGGGTCCTTGGGTGTCCCTGTCCCTTTTTGGGGGTCCCGGTGCCCCCGGGGGTCTCACGGGGGCTCCCCCAGACCCCGTTGGGATCCGGCACCTGCGCAGAACCTTCAAATACTTCAAGGACTACAGGCAGGTGAGGCTGGGGGAAATGGGGGGTCCTGGGGTCCTGGGGGGGATTTGGGGGGTCCCGGGTGGGTCTGGGGGGTCTGGGGGGGTCTCAGGGGGGATCTGGGGATCCCGGGGGTCCCCGGGGTCGGGGGTGGCCCCAGCCTGGGGAAGGGGACAAGGGTGGGGGGTCCTGGGGCGACCTCGAGTTTGGGGTCCCCGTGCCCATTTTGGGGTCCCCGTGCCCATTTTGGGCTCCCTGTGCCCAATTTGGGGTCCCTGTCCCCATGGGGGTGTCCCTATTTGGGGGTTCCTGTCCCCGTTTTGGGGGTCCCCATGCCCATTTTGGGGCTCCCCCTGCCCATTTTTGGGGTCTCTATCCCCATTTTTTGGGCTCCCTGTGCCCATTTTGGTGTCCCCATCCCCATTTCTGGGGTCCCCATCCCCATTTTTGGTGTCCCCATCCCCATTTTGGGGTCCCCGTCCCCATTTTTGGGGTCCCTATCCCCATTTTGGGCTCCCTGTGCCCATTTTTGGGGTCTCTATCCCCATTTTTGGGGTCCCTATCCCCATTTTGGGGTCTCTATCCCCATTTTGGGGTCCCTATCCCCATTTTTGGGGTCCCTGTGCCCATTTTGGGCTCCCTGTGCCCATTTCGGGGGTCCCTATCCCCATTTTGGGGTCCCTGTCCCCATTTTTGGGGTCCCTGTCCCCATTTTTGAGGTCTCTCTCCCCATTTTTGGGGTCCCCGTGCCCATTTTTGGGGTCCCTATCCCCATTTTGGGGTCTCTATCCCCATTTCTGGGGTCCCTGTCCCCATTTTGGGGTCCCTGTCCCCATTTTTGGGGTCTCTCTCCCCATTTTTGGGGTCCCTATCCCCATTTTTGGGGTCTCTATCCCCATTTTGGGGTCCCTATCCCCATTTTTGGGGTCCCTGTCCCCAATTTTGGGGTCCCCGTGCCCCCCAGATGATCATCGAGCCCACCAGCCCCAAGCTGCTGCCGGACCCTCTGCGGGAGCCCTACTACCAACCGCCCTACACGCTGGTGATCGAGCTCACGGGGGTCCTGCTGCACCCCGAGTGGTCGGTGAGGGACCCCAAAAACCCCAAAAAACACCCCAAAAATCCCAAAAATACCCCAAAAATCCAAAAATCCCCAAAAACCTAATTCCCGCCTCAAAAAAACAGCCTAAAAACAGCCCAAAAACATCACAGAACTCACGGGGGTCCTGCTGCACCCCGAGTGGTCGGTGAGGGACCCAAAAACCCCAAAAAACACCCCAAAAATACCCCCAAAACCCAAAAATCCCCAAAAAACCTAAAAAAACCCTAAACGCCCCAAAAAAACACCCCAAAACCAGCCAAAAACCCCCAAAAACATCACAGAGCTCACGGGGGTCCTGCTGCACCCCGAGTGGTCGGTGAGGGACCCCAAAACCCGAAAACCCCAAAAAACACCCCAAAAATACCCCCAAAACCCAAAAAATCCCCAAAATCCCAAAAAAGAGCTAAACGACCCCAAAAAAAACACCCTAAACCCAGCCCAAAATCCCCAAAATCCCCAAACCCCAAAAAAACCCTAACTCCCCCCAAAAAACACCCTAAAACCACCCCAAAAACCCCAAAACCCTGAAACCCCAAAATCCCCCAAAACCCCTGAAACGCCAAAAACTCAAAATCCCCAAAACGCCAAAACCTCGGAAATGCCCAAAACCCCCAAAATTGGCCCTTTTTGGGGTGGTTTTTGGGGCCATTTTTGGGGTGGTTTTGGGGCCATTTTCGGGGTGGTTTTGGGGCCATTTTCGGGGTGGTTTTGGGGCCATTTTTGAGGTGGTTTTGGGGCCATTTTCGGGGTGGTTTTGGGGCCATTTTTGGGGTGGTTTTGGGGCCGTTTTCATGGCCGTTTTTGGGGCCATTTTGTGCCTTTTGAGCCATTTTCCAGCCTCTCAAAACCCCTCAGATCTCCTTGATTTCCCCCCAAAGAAAAACCCCCAGACCCCAATCCCAGGCCCCCAAAACCGCCCGAATTTGCCCCCAAATCACCGGAATTTGCCCAAAATCGCCGGAATTTGCCCAAAACCGCCGGAATTTGCCCCAAACGCAGCTGGTGACGGGCTGGAGGTTCAAGAAGCGCCCGGGCATCGAGCACCTCCTGCAGCAGCTGGCGCCGCTCTACGAGATCGTGGTGTTCACCTCCGAGACCGGCATGGTGAGGGGATTTGGGGTGAATTCGGGGGGATTTGGGGCTTTTTACAGCGGGGCTCGGGTGCTCAGGGATGGCCCAAAATGTCTGGGAAAAAATCGGCCAAAATCGGCTCAAAATTCCTGAAAAACAGAACAAAATTGGCCAAAAATCAGCCCAAAATCAGCTCAAAATTCCTGAAAAAACAGAACAAAATTGGCCCAAAATCAGCCCAAAATCACCCAAAAAACACAACAAAATCAGCCAAAATCCACCCAAAAAACACAACAAAAATAGCCCAAAATCCCCGAAAAAACCACCCCAAAAACAGAACAAAATCAGCCCAAAATTCCTGAAAAAACAGAACAAAATCAGCTCAAAATCCACTCAAAAAAACACAACAAAATCAGCTCAAAATTCCCGAAAAAACGCAACAAAATCGGCCCAAAATCAGCCCAAAATTCCTGAAAAAACAGAACAAAATCAGCTCAAAATTCCCAAAAAAACACAACAAAATCGGCCCAAAATCAGCCCAAAATTCCTGAAAAAACAAAACAAAACAAGCTCCAAATTCCCGAAAAAACACAACAAAATCAACTCAAAATCAGCCCAGAAAACAGAGCAAAATCAGCCCAAAATCAGCCCAAAATTCCTGAAAAATCAGCCCAAAACAAGCTCAAAATTCCCGAAAAAACGCAACAAAAGCAGCTCAAATCCCCGAAAAACCACCCCAAAAACACAACAAAACCAACCCAAAATGCCCCCGAAAAAACAGAACAAAACCAGCCAAAATGCCCCCAAAAAACCACCCCAAAATCAGCCCAAAATTCCTGAAAAAACACAACAAAATCAACTCAAAATCAGCCCAAAAAACCAGAACAAAATCAGCCCAAAATCCCCCCAAAAAACCACCCCAAAATCAGCCCAAAATGCCCGAAAAAAACACAACAAAATCAGCTCAAAATGCCCCCAAAAAACTCCTCCCCATCTGCATTTTGGGGGCAGTTTGGAGGATTTTTGGGGGTTATTTTAGGATTATTTTAGGATTATTTTGGGGTGTGTTTTTGGGAAGGATTTGGGATAACTCAAACCCCTCCCCGGCTGCGTTTTGGGGCCAGTTTGGGGAATTTTTTTGGGATTATTTTGGGGCTATTTCGGGGGATTTTGGGATTTTCTGGGACGAGATATAGAGAAGAAAAATCCTCCCCGGCTGCGTTTTTGGGGCAAGTTTGGGGGATTTTTTAGGGGGTTATTTTAGGATTATTTTGGGGTATTTTAGGATTATTTTAGGATTATTTTGGGGTGTGTTTTTGGGAAGGATTTAGGCTAAGTCAAACTCCTCCCCGGCTGCATTTTGGGGCCAGTTTGGGATTTTTTGGGGAGGCTGCCGGGAAGGATCGGGGATTCCATTGTGGAGGGGACCCAAAACCCCAGAAATGACCCCAAAACCCCAGAAACGACCCAAAAACCCCAGAAATGACCAAAAACCCCAGAAATTACCCCAAAACCGCCAGAAATGACCCCAAAACCCCGTAAATGACCCCAAAACCACAGAAATGACCCAAAAACCCTGGAAATGACCCCAAACTGCCAGAAACGACCCCAAAACCCCGTAAATGACCCCAAACCCCAGAAATGACCCAAAAACCCCAGAAATGACCCCAAAACCCCGGAAATGACCCCAAAACCCCGCAGACGGCGTTCCCACTGATCGACAGCATCGACCCGCACGGCTTCGTCTCCTACCGGCTCTTCCGCGACGCCACGCGCTACATGGACGGGCAGCACGTCAAGGTGGGGCCGCTTTGGGGCGAAAAACACGGGATTTGGGCACAAACTGCAAATCTGGGGCGAAAAACACGGGGTTTGGGCAAAAAACCGCAAATCTGGGGTGAAAAACACGGGGTTTGGGCAAAAATCGCAAATCTGGGGCGAAAAACACGGGGTTTGGGCAAAAACCGCAGAGTTTGGGGTGAAAAAACACGGGGTTTGGGCAAAAACCGCAGGTCTGGGGCGAAAAAACACGGGGTTTGGGCAAAAATCACAGATTTGGGGTGAAAAACACGGGGTTTGGGCAAAAACCGCAGGTCTGGGGTGAAAAACACGGGGTTTGGGTAAAAACTGCAGAGTTTGGGTGAAAAACACGGGGTTTGGGTAAAAATCACAGGTTTTGGGTGAAAATCCCAGATTTGGGGTGAAAACCCCGGATTTGGGGTGAAAATCAGAGATTTGGGGGTAAAAATCCCCGATTTGGGGTGAAAACCCCGGGTTTTGGGTGGAAGTCCCCGATTTGGGCTGAAAACCCCGGGTTTTGGGTAAAAATCACAGATTTGGGGGTGAAAGTCCCAGATTTTGGGTGAAAATCCCGGGTTTTGGGGTCAAAGTTCTAGATTTTGGGGGTGAAAATCCCAGATTTTGAGGTGAAAACCCTGGGTTTTGGGTGAAAACCCCGGATTTGGGGTGAAAATCCCAGATTTTGGGGTGAAAGTCCCAGATTCGGGGTGTAAATCCCCGATTTTGAGGCAAAAATCCCAGATTTTGGTGTGAAAATCCCAGATTTTGGGGCGAAAATCCCCAATTTTGGTGTGAAAATCCCCGATTTTGGGGCGAAAATCCCCGATTTTGGGGCGAAAATCCCCGGTTTTGGGGCGAAAATCCCCGATTTTGGGGCGAAAACCCCCGGTTTTGGGTCTGTCCAGGACATCTCGTGCCTGAACCGGGACCGGGCGCGCGTGGTCGTGGTCGATTGGCGCCGGGACTCGTTCCGGCTGCAGCCGCACAACGGCCTGGCCCTGCCGCGCTGGGACGGCGCCTCCGAGGACCGCGCGCTCTTTCGACCTGGCGGCTTTCCTCAAGAGTGGGTGAAATGACCCAAAATGACCCAAAAATAACCCAAAAACTCCTTTAAACCTGCCCCAAATCAACCCAGAAACGCCTTTAAACCCACCCCGAATTCACCCAAACCCAGCCCGAATTAACCCAAACCCCAACGGCTCCGAGGACCGCGCGCTCTTCGACCTGGCCGCCTTCCTCAAGAGTGGGTGAAACCGACCCAGAAATGACCCAAAATCCACCCCAAATTAACCCAAACCCAGCCCGAATTAACCCAAACCCACCCAAACCCCAACGGCTCCGAGGACCGCGCCCTCTTCGACCTGGCTGCTTTCCTCAAGAGTGGGTGAAATGACCCAAAATAACCCAAAAATGACCCAAAAATGCCTTTAAAACCCAGCCCGAATTAACCCAGAATGCGCCAAACCCAGCCCAAATTAACCCAAACCCCAACGGCTCCGAGGACCGGGCGCTCTTCGACCTGGCTGCTTTCCTCAAGAGTGGGTGAAACCGACCCAAAATAACCCAAAATGACCCAAAAATGCCTTTAAAACCCACCCTGAATTAACCCAATCCCACCCAAACTCACCCAAATCCCAACGGCTCCGAGGACCGGGCCGTCTTCGACCTGGCTGCCTTCCTCAAGAGTGGGTGAAACCGACCCAAAATAACCCAAAAATGCCCTGAAATGACCCAAAAATGCCCTGAAATGACCCAAAAATGCCTTTAAACCCACCCCAAATTAACCCAAACCCAGCCCGAATTAACCCAAACCCACCCAAATCCCAATGGCTCCGAGGACCGTGCGCTCTTCGACCTGGCTGCTTTCCTCAAGAGTGGGTGAAACCGACCCAAAAATGCCCTGAAATGACCCAAAAATGCCCCGAAATAACCCAAAAATGCCTTTAAACCCAGCCCGAATTAACCCAAACCCACCCAAACCCCAACGGCTCCGAGGACCACGCCCTCTTCGACCTGGCTGCTTTCCTCAAGAGTGGGTGAAACCGACCCAAAAATGCCCCGAAATGACCCAAAAATGCCCTGAAATGACCCAAAAATGCCTTTAAACCCACCCCAAATTCACCCAAACCCAGCCCGAATTAACCCAAACCCACCCAAACCCACCCAAATCCCAACGGCTCCGAGGACCGCGCGCTCTTCGACCTGGCTGCCTTCCTCAAGAGTGGGTGAAATGACCCAAAAATGCCCTGAAATGACCCAAAAACGCCTTTAAACCTGCCCCAAATTAACCTAAATCCACCCCAAATTAACCCAAACCCAGCCAAACCCACCCAAACCCCAACGGCTCCGAGGACCGCGCCCTCTTCGACCTGGCTGCCTTCCTCAAGAGTGGGTGAAACTGACCCAAAAATGCCCCGAAATGACCCAAAAATGCCCTGAAATAACCCAAAAATGCCCTGAAATAACCCAAAAACTCCTTTAAACCCAGCCCAAATTAACCCAAACTCACCCAAACCCACCCAAAACTCACCCAAACCCCAACGCCTCCGAGGACCGCGCGCTCTTCGACCTGGCTGCTTTCCTCAAGAGTGGGTGAAACCGACCCAAAATAACCCAAAAAATGCCTTTAAATCTGCCCCAAATTAACCCAAACCCACCCCAAATTAACCCAAACCCAGCCAAACCACCCCAAATTAACCCAGAATGCACCAAACCCAGCCAAACCCCAACAGCTCCGAGGACCGGGCGCCCTTCGACCTGGCCGCCTTCCTCAAAAATGGGTCGAAACTGCCCCAAAAAAACCCAAAAATGCCTTTAAACCTGCCCCAAATTAACCCAAACTCACCCAAACCCACCCCAAATTAACCCAGAATTCACCCAAACCCACCCCAAACCCACCCAAAACCCACCCAAAATCCACCCCAAATCCCTGAATCCCACCCCAAACCCAGATCTGCCCGGTTTTGCCCGAAATCGCCGGGTTTCACCCCAAATTCCGCCCGCAGCCATCGCCCTCAGCGGGGTCGAGGACGTGCGCTCGGTGCTGCAGAATTATTCCCACGAGGACGATCCCTGGCGGCCTTCCTGAGGCGCAGGACACGCCTCGAGGAGGTGAGGGGGCAAAAACACACCTGGGCACACCCAAAAATACACCTGGGCACACCTGGGCACACCTGGGGGCACCTGGGAACCAAAAACACACCTGGGGGCACCCAAAAAACACACCTGGGCACACCTGGGAGGGGCTGGGGACACACCTGGGCACACCTGGGCATCCCCTGGCGGCCTTCCTGAGGCGCAGGAGCCGCCTCGAGGAGGTGAGGGGGCACCTGGGCACACCTGGGCACACCTGGGAGGGGATGGGGACACACCTGGGCACACCTGGGGACACCCAAAAACACACCTGGGGACACCCAAAAATACACCTGGGCATCCCCTGGCGGCCTTCCTGAGGCGCAGGACACGCCTCGAGGAGGTGAGGGCGCAAAAACACACCTGGGCACACCTGGGCACACCTGGGAGGGGCTGGGGACACACCTGGGGGCACCCAAAACACACCTGGGCACACCTGGGGACACACCTGGGCACACCTGGGAGGGGATGGGGGACACACCTGGGCACACCTGGGCATCCCCTGGCGGCCTTCCTGAGGCGCAGGACACGCCTCGAGGAGGTGAGGGCACAAAAACACACCTGGGAACAGCCAAAAATACACCTGGGCACACCTGGGGGCACCTGGGAGGGCATGGGGACACACCTGGGTACACCTGGGCACCCAAAAACACACCTGGGCACACCTGGGAGGGGATGGGGACACACCTGGGCACACCTGGGGACACCTGGGCACCCAAAAACACCTGGGGACACCTGGGAGGGGCTGGGGACACACCTGGGGGCACCTGGGCACACCTGGGCAGGGTTGGGCACACACCTGGGCATCCCCTGGCGGCCTTCCTGAGGCGCAGGAGCCGCCTTGAGGAGGTGAGGGCACAAAAACACACCTGGGAACAGCCAAAAACACACCTGGGCACACCTGGGAGGGGATGGGGGACACACCTGGGGGCACCTGGGAGGGGATGGGGACACACCTGGACACACCTGGTGGTGTTCCAGAGACACAGGACACACCTGGAGCAGGTGAGGTCACACCTGGGCACACACCTGTCCCTCACCTGTCCCTCCCCTGCAGGAGGAGCAGCAGCACCTGGCCGAGCTGGCAGGGGTTGGGCACACACCTGGGGGTTACCTGGGGGTATCTGGGGGTTACCTGGGCACACACCTGTCCCTCCCCTGTCCCTCCCCTGTCCCTCACCTGTCCCTCACCTGTCCCTCACCTGTCCCTCACCTGTCTCACCTGTCCCCCCCCCCAGGAGGAGCAGCAGCGCCTGGCCGAGCTGGCAGGGGTTGGGCACACCTGGGGCACACCTGGGGCACACCTGGGGGTTACCTGGGCACACACCTGTCCCTCCCCTGTCCCTCACCTGTCCCCCCCCACAGGAGGAGC